GACTCGGAACAATACAACTTACTCAGATTTCAACTTCACGACGAATGATATCCAATTCGAGGCTCAACTTCACAACAAGAGGCCATCCATGGTTTCAACTTCACGATGAAGGGAATCGTGCCAACCAAAGACCTTTGAGTTCGACCACGCTCAGCTCCAACGCATGTCATTTGTAGCATAGCTTAAGTCGGGAAGGGCTATCTGCCAACGAAGACCTTCTGAGTTCGATTTCATTCAGCTCGAGGGCCTATCAACCATAGGGTGGAGTCAAGAAACTACTTCCTAGTCGAATTTTTAAACCAAGGTCTTTAAACCGAGAAGAAGACCGAAGTTGACTACAATTGGGCAACAAGAAGCTGCATCCTGATTCAAATTTCGGATTACGGCTTCAATTCCAGATCATTTCAAGATGAAATCGATTTTGCGACGGAAGAATCATCCGCAAATTAATTCAACAGGGAGTTATTCTATTCCAATTTTAACTCCACTGAACGAAAATTTGTGTCTTTTTATCTTTGTCCTATTTTTCGTTCCCCGAAAAAGGACAAAGAGGGGCAACTGTAGACACTCATTTTCATCCATATTTTTTATTTTTATTTTATACATATATATCTATATCTATATATATAATATAGTTTTTAAAACCCCATTTTTGAAATACATATAATATATAGTTTTTAAAAATAATTTTTTGAAATTATATATTATATGATTTTAAAACATTTATTTACTTGTTGTTATTATTAATATTTTTATTTTATTTTTATTTTTTTGTAGGCCCCATACACTACCCACCATTATCTCCATCACTTTCACCACAAATCACGTGGGTTTTGTTTTTCATGGGAGTTGTGGACCACTCCTCCCTCAAGCTCATTGTTCTCCACTTTCAAATGACTTTTGGCATTTTTTTAATTTAAAAGGGGACCTGCACGAAGGAAAAGGGGGGGGGGGAATCTGAAAGAAGTATCGGATGAACAATCTATCAACTTCAAGGATTTCTTCATCTTTCTCTGTTTTCTTGGTTCCAACCAGTTTCAATTCAGGAACCCATAATGTTTCGGTTCCACTGAAAAGACTCCGTATAGTTAAATGTATAGCCACTCCTCAAGAACAACAGACTGCTTACAAGACAAAGTTTTCTCGCAATACGAACATAGCCAAGCTTCAAGCTGGTTACCTGTTTCCAGAAGTTGCTAGAAGAAGGGTTGCACACTTGCTAAAGTACCCGAACGCACAAGTGATTAGCCTTGGAATTGGTGATACTACTGAACCTATTCCAGATGTTATTACTTCTGCAATGGCTATGAGATCTCATGCACTGTCTATGATGGAGGGTTACAGTGGTAATAGAGCTTAACAAGGTGAAAAAGCATTGAGAGCAGTCATTGGTCTTTCAGAGTATGAATTTAATACTGCTTGCATAACTAAACTTTTCCCAACTCATTCGCATACCGTTACAGCTTAAGTTTCTAGACCTTTGTTGCTCGTGGTTATGTGTTATATTGTTGCTATTATTCAGGGCATGCATGTGCACGGTTACTATAGATTAATGGGACTCACGGTTATAGATTTTATGGGCATATTGGTTCTATGATTTAGTGGGTTTATATAGATCGTACTTGTCTCTTGCTGTTGTTTCCTTCCTCATCACGGATATTTGGGTGGTTTGCACAATAATTGGTGTTCTCTTCTCCAACTTAGATTGAGAATGAATTTCAATTTCCATTACTGTGGATTGTTGACTTTTCTTATAGTTCTTTAAAGACAGTAACTTATCACTCCTATACTTTTATATTTGATCTACTTTTGTCTTTTTCATTTTAAAGTGCAATACACGGGTATTTGAATTTCTTATTTTGAAATTGCTTTATGAGATAAGCCACACTTCTCCATATTTCACGATCTAACCTTTTTTAATTTTTGTTTTGGGTAATTTCAAACGATCAAATGTAATTATTTAAAATTAAATTTTTTAAATTTTTATTTAAATTTTTTAATTTTCGTAATTAAGACAATCGATAAATTAATTGGTACCGAAAGGACGGTTCAAGGGTGTTAATCCTTCCTGGACTGTAACCGACTCCCGAATCCGATATATCTCTGGTAAAACACAGATCAGGTAAGATGGTGTCCGACCTACCTAAACGTTTTTAAAATGGTCGGTGGCGACTCCAATTCATTTAATCCAAGTCGAAGCTCGATTTCGGGATTCAACCGAAAGACGGTTGCGACAGCATATTTATAGGTTCGCATACCTGGAAGTTCGCATGAGTGGTATGTCCGCATACCTGGAAATTCGTGGGGTTAGAGTTTCGTAAGTAGTAACACTTGTCCCCCATGTGTGTGAAGATTATAAAGTGACATTCGCGAATCTGGGAATTGGAGCGATAAATGTATGGCGCTTGAAATTCGGGATTTTTTGAATTTTGAACTAAACGGTTGTAATTGAGTGGCTGTTGAACTACCACATGTTTTATTAAAACGTATCGTTTCATCCTAGAAGACAAAACGTTTTCAGAAGTTTTTTAGGGTTTATGAATAGCGCCATATCATGTGTGAGTTTTATAATTTTTCATATTTCATCGTTGTCTTCTGCCTTTTGAAAAGATAAAGGCTGCAATGATCACAGTTGAGGATAGTGTACGGTGTTCCTTGTCGCACCTTATTCGTCACACTTGGCGTTCCGTAAAAAACAAAAGCAAAATCAATCCCAATTACCACGGCGGTAGAAGAGAAACGACATCATAATTAATGTAAATAAACCTTGAGCCTTTTCCCTGATCTTTTGGGTTGTTCGAGAACATGTGACAACGTTAAAGCGAGCCTCTTCACCTTCTCAGTAATAAATCGTCTGGCCACCTCCGCTGCATTAAGAGCACTAGAACATGTCCCCAAACCAGGACTAGCACTGATGGAGGAGGAGGCAAGGGGCACAATAGTAGACGAAGAAGTACCAGTGACAATGGCAGACACAGGAAGTTGACCGACAGAGGCTACAATTATTACAATTAAGGATAGAGTAGCAGTGTTTCCTGCCACACCATGTTCGCCACCTGTGGCGTTTCCTGAAAAATAAAAATAAGAGGGTGTTTGGATTATGAATTTCAGCATTACTGATAAAAATATTTGTTCTCCTTGTGATACCATGTTTGGATGGACAAGATTTCCAATAGGAGAGTAATAAAATATTTCTAATAATAAATTTTCTCAAATTTTACCTAGAATGTTAATCCCATTATGGGCTTAGGTATTTTTTGTTTCCCTTTAACTTGGACTAAAATGCCTTTGAAACAAAAGATTTATTTTAAAAATATCCTTACTTTTATTTCAAAAACTATAGTATATTATCATAACTTTATTTTAAAAATATTCACAACCGGGAATTTTATTTATTTATTTATTTATTATCATAACTTTTTAAATATTAATTAAGATTAAAAGAATATATGTTATATTTACTCTTTTAATCTACCTATTTATCTTTTAAATTTTGTAAAAAATTTATATAAATTTAAATTTAATAAAAATATATAAATTGAAAATAATACAATAATATATTCTCTATGATTTTTTATATAAATATTTTTCATTTGAATATTTGGAATTCATCTTGTTAAAAAAATATTAAAAGGAAAATTTAGTAAAATATGCATTCCAATAATCTTTTATTCATTTAACCAAACACTGTAATCATACATTCCTCTCAAACAAACCAAACACAATAATGTAACATTTCCATTAATGTGTAAGATAATATAACATTCCGGTAATCTTATTCCCGAAGATAAAGTTACATTTCATGAACCAAACACATCCTAAAAGTAATCTTAGTCGTCAAAACAGTAGAATAGAATCAACGTTATAATTAATGGAGAACAGACCAACAATGACAGATACGAGAGGCACTCTCATTAGACATTTTAATATAAAGTAAGCAATTAAATTCTTGCAAGAAAAAAAAAATCAAACGAATCAGTACATTAGAAGTAGCTCCAAAAACGCATTACGAAGATAAACTGGAATCCTTTAATTTTTTCGTTCGACGCTCAAGGTTCGCAGGTGGTAATAAATGGACTCGAGATTGTTTTAAAATTGAAATGAACGATAATTACTGGTATGATATTGACCACGCTAACAATTTCTCAATTTTCGTAAAGTAAGAGAATCAAATTCTAAACAATCAAATTAGAGGGATTAAATTATTGATTTCCACAAAGTATACGGATGGGTTTCAAATTAGACCCATTTATACAATTATATCTATACAAATGGGCCATAGATCTGTCTTTAGCCGCAGTTTTCAAATTGAAAAGACGAAACAAGTGTAAATTACACTATTCGCTGTCAAATTATTATTATTATTATTTTTATTTTGATCATTAAATTTTTTTTTAAATAAAATTATCATTAATATCTATTTTTGAATAGTTTAAAATAATTACAAAATAATATTTATTTATATTTTTTAACCATTGGTAATGTACACATACTACAAACACAACTGCTATAACCTAGGATCTCTAAGAAGAACAAAACTCCTATCATTTTTTTAAATTTTATTGCACTTAGACACTATATTAGATCAAGAGTTTATTAAATTTCTACCAAAATGTGTATTTAAGTTCAATTGTACACCATTTACAAAATTATTTATAAAATAAATTAAATCTATGACCCTTTGGAGCTAAACAAACACATATAAGTTTACAGTTAGTTAAACAAACGCATCTGAATTTAATTCCTTTTAATAATAATTTTACATAACTTTTATGTGATATACAACTTAATTTAAATACTATTTTTGGTAAAAAAAAAGTTCTTAGTTTAGTTTAGTGATGATTTTGCAACAAAAAAAAAAACAAATTTAGGTGATCAAAATAGAAACGATGTAATACTTCGATGACTAATGGGTGTAGTTTCATTCTATGTGACGTCGTTTCCTGCAGCTTCGACTTTCCTAATCTTAAAACCTCTATCCCCTCCACAGTTCTAAAACCTCACTGCAACGTTCACTCAATCTTCCCTCCCTCCAATGGCTTTCTCACTCCTTTCGCTTCCCAAATTTCTCGCTCCTCAACCCAACCACATATCTTTAATTGGCCATCACCGCCATCGCCACCGTCGTGTCTATTTTAAGCCTCTTCGTCTTCCTTCTCTCCGCCGCCTTCCGGCTATCGGCCCTGACGGAAAGTATTATCCGACTCCCTCTGATGATGACCCGCCCGAAGCTCCTGAGGACTCCATGCACGGCGTAGACAAGTTTCAGCAAATCCACCGCCAAGCTGCCCGTGCCCGCAAAATCCAAGAAGACGACTTTAACAAGCACAAGTCAAATTACCTTTCTGCCATTGCTGACGTGGACGAAGACTTGTTGAGTAAAGAGAAAGCGGGAAATGACGACGGAGATGATTTGTTCGGTGAAATTGATAAAGCCATTGCCATGAAACGGGAAGAGTTGGTTAAGCAAGGTTTGTTACAACCCGCACCTAAAAAATCGGGAGTCGTTGATGACGAGCTGGACGCTGATGAAGTTGTTGACTTGGAAGAAATTGATCAATTACGAGGTTTGACTGCCGTATCTGATTCGGAAGATGGAGAAAATGAAGATTCTGAGGAAGAATTTTCTTCGAAATATGATGTCAGTTTGAGTGACTCTGAAGGTAAAGAAAGAGCTAATTTGTTTGATCCATCATTTGATATAGACTTAGATAGTTTTAGAAAGAGTAAGGTTAGAATTGTGGAACCTAAGTTTAAAATGAGTTTAGCTGAGCTTTTAGATGAAAGTAAAGTGGTGCCGGTGTCGGTTAATGGGGATATAGAGGTTGAGATAACAGGGATACAGCATGATTCTAGGTTGGTTAGTGCTGGGGATTTGTTTGTTTGTTGTGTTGGGAGAAAAACTGATGGGCATTTGTACTTGAGTGAAGCTGATAAGAGAGGAGCTGTTGCTGTTGTAGCAAGTAAAGAGATCGATATTGAGGATACCTTGGGATGCAAGGCATTAGTCATTGTTGAGGATACTAATTCAGTTTTGCCTACACTAGCTGCATCATTTTATAGACATCCTTCAAAGAATATGGCTGTTATTGGGATCACTGGGACTAATGGCAAAACAACCACATCTTATTTGATAAAAGGGATGTATGAGGCAATGGGTTTAAGGACTGGGATGCTAAGTACGGTTGCCTATTATATACATGGTGATAATAAGTTGGAATCACCGAATACAACTCCTGATGCTGTTTTGGTTCAGAATTTGATGGCAAAGATGTTGCATAATGGAACTGAGGCTGTTGTCATGGAGGCTTCTTCTCATGGATTGGCTTTAGGGAGGTGCAACGAGGTTGATTTTGATATCGCGGTGTTTACTAATTTGACTAGGGAAAATTTAGATTTCCATGGGACTGAAGAGGAATATAGGGAAGCTAAAGCAAAGTTGTTTGCAAGGATGGTGGATCCTGAGAGGCATAGGAAAGTTGTTAACATTGATGATCCACATGCACCTTTTTTCATTGCTCAAGGTAACCCTGAAGTTCCTGTGGTGACATTTGCAATGGAGAATAAGAATGCAGATGTTCATCCCCTTAAGTTTGAGTTGTCGCTATTTGAGACTCAGGTCTTGGTTAACACACCACATGGGATATTGGAGATTTCATCAGGTTTGCTCGGAAGGCACAATATCTATAATATACTCACGGCTGTGGCTGTTGGGATTGCAGTTGGGGCGCCGTTAGAGGACATTGTTAGAGGGATTGAAGAGGTTGATGCTGTTCCAGGAAGGTGTGAGTTAATAGATGAGGAGCAGGCATTTGGAGTCATTGTGGACTATGCCCACACTCCTGATGCCTTATCTAGACTGCTAGATTCTGTAAGAGAGCTTGCACCAAAAAGGATTATTACTGGTACGCTTGTTATGATTTTCCTTTAACACTCCTACTTCTCATGAAAATCATGCTTCCTCTTAATTGAATATCAATACCTTTTTTTAACCTATTAATTATGTTGTTTCTGAAGTTATTGGTTGCCCTGGGGAGAGTGACCGGGGGAAAAGACCAATGATGGCGAAAATTGCAACAGATAAAAGTGAAGTGACTCTCTTGACATCTGATAATCCAAAGAGTGAAGATCCATGTAAGTATAAGAAAATGGTATAATTATTATTAGCTGCAATGGCAGTTGCTTAGAAACACGAACCAAATTACTCATATGTTTCATCTTTTGATTAGTGGACATATTGGACGACATGTTAGCTGGCGTGGGGTGGACAATGCAGGATTATTTGAAATATGGAGAAAATGATTACTATCCACCTCTCCCAAATGGCCATAGACTTTTTCTGCATGATATTAGGCGGGTAGCTGTACGTTGTGCTGTTGCCATGGGAGAAGAAGGCGATATGGTTGTAAGTTTTTGAAAGCTTGGATTGCTTCTATATTCCAGCAACCTAGAAAACCCACATCTTCATGAGTATATTTATATGTTCTTCTAGATTAGTGTTTTATGTTTCAGCAATAGACCTAATGTAACTTCGGTGCTCACACACCACAAATGAGGGTGCACTGCCTACATTAAATTTGTTGAAATTTTAAATTAGTTATTTCATATAGGTTTCTTGTTGAACTTTAAGAGTTTTGACTTTGGAGAATAAACCATATATATATTCCTCCCATTCTGCTTCCTCATTTATGCTTTTTCATTCTTTGGATCGTGGGGGTTTATTTCATATAAGGTGAGTCATCCCCTTCTCTTGTCTGTGCACCATACTTGGTTTTTCATGGGTTAATTGTGTAGTCCTCTCCTCTTCTTCATGCTCCTTTTCTGCTCATACTAGTTGATAAGTATATTTGCTAATTTGGTGCTGTGTGTTGCAGGTGGTTGCTGGCAAAGGCCATGAAACGTATCAGATTGAAGGTGACAAAAAGGAGTTCTTTGATGACCGTGAGGAATGCCAGGAAGCATTGCAATATGTTGATGAGCTCCACCAAGCAGGAATAGACACCAGTGAATTCCCATGGAGGTGGGTTCATTCTCTGTTAATTCTGCTTAATTGTTGAAAAATACTTTTTCAGTGATCAGTATGCGGCTTTTCCTGAACAATTTGCTACGTGGAAATGAGTATCATGTTTGGTGAATTGTTAGGATCATGTCTTTGTTAAATGTGATGCCATGTACAATCCAAGCAAAAGGAAATGGAAGAAAAGAATAATATCACATGCTTTTATTTGATAAAGCTATTATAGTAATGTTTCTTTCTTGCGTATGTGTGCAGGTTGCCAGAGAGTCATTAATTTCCATGAGTGTACAGATAAATTGATGTTAATACCACAGAAGGGAATAATATACCTCTAGGTCAAAATTCTGTATTTTGGCCCTTACTGAAAAACACGATATTGTTGCTATTCTGGTGCAGGAATTCATTGTTTGAGGGCATGAGCATTGCTAAATAGAGAACAGTAAGAACTCCACTTGTAGTTGTATTTGTATTCCTTGAAGTTTAACTGTACTCCTTTTGGATGTTAGTTATGAGTTACTCCTTGATTTTCTTTAGTGTTGATCAAACGCTTTTAAAGCGGGAGACAGGTGAGCATGGAGTCGATTATACTGTATGCTTAGAAGCAGAATTCAGTTCATTTCTAAATTTTCAATTGTAACTCTAATTTCTTCTTACTTTTATTCCTAAAGATTTAGATTCTTTCAATCCAGGTCTTGCCAGTTTCGATGTCACTCCAAATCCTGCTTTGACGTGCCCTTTAACAAAGATGAATTTACGTTTTTGTATGCCAAATGACTATTTTTGTGTGTATATGTAAAATAACTATCCTGAAATTGTGTAACGATGATAGATTCTGATTAGTGTTGCAGATTAGAGTGGTGCAGCATGTTGTTTAATAATCTGATGGAAAAATCTATAAAAGATGGGTTTCTTAGTAGTTTGATGTTATTCGTGCTGCCGATTGTGAGGTGAAACAAAATGAATGCATTACAAGTTTAATCTAATTTAGAGGAATCTGTAGTTTTTTTCTCATTGTGTAAGGACAATTCCTGGATTGATTTGTAGAGAACTAATACAAGGTTTGTCAACAAAATCGTATCTTTAGACCTATTTTACGTTACAAGTAAATGTACTTGAATTTTGTTATGTAAATTCCAATTTGGCTTAATGCTATAATCCTCCTTAACTATTAAGATAAACTCGATATTTGAGCTATCAATCATCGTCCTCTGAATTTGCTAAATAAATTAGAAAATAATCAAAGCAAATTCTTCTTGTTAATGGAAAATAATTGCATATTTGAGAAGGAAATTAATACCATTACCATCTATAAAATCGCCATGAATACAAGAAAAGAAAATTCTGGCAAGTTCTGTAAAAGGAAACCCACTGTAAGAGGGAATAAAAGCTCCAACCAAGGCTCAAAGAACCATCACGGACAATACATGGTAAGGCATATCTTTCATTTCACAACAAATCAAAACCAATATAGAAAATTTGGTAGAAATCCAAGACAGGAAAACAAGCCAGCTGCAGGCCTTCATTTTGATTACTTAAAAGCTTAGATGTATTCATTGTTTAGTACATAGTAAACTAACCATCCGTATCGATCCCCGTGTTTTTGACTCGACTGATATATGGTGAGAACACAAATCTTCATTTTGATTGCTTAAAAGCTTAAATATATTCACTGCTTAGAAGTTTTTCTTTGTTGGCTTCTCCATATTATATCATTCTTCCCTGTAAAACTAGGTACTTATTAGTCTGTTCAGAACTGGATTAAACTTCTCCATTTGTCCTGTCCAGTCAGAATTTGAACAAGGGTACCTGTTTTTACTCGCATGGTCATATGATTGATATTTGTTCAACTTTTGTGCTATCACTAGACTGCTTTCCCCATTTGAATGAACAGAATATGAACAAGGGTATCTGTCAATGTTCAGTTTGTAGTGATTCGCCTAGCATAAATGGGAGAATTTGGATTTTGGCAGCGTTGGGAGTTCAGGAGGAACGATGAAAACGACCCAGATTCTTCATTCAATGATTCAATATCGAGTGACGGGTCACTTATCAGAAAGCAGAAGCTGGTATAGAGATTGATTTCACTTGGTGATGATGAAACTAGTGAAGGCAGTAGACTTAAGCAGAAGGACGATGAGAATCCTGGAAAAGCAGGTCGAATTAATGTCGGGAAAGTTAAGAAACGGAGAGCCGGGAATAAGAGCAGCAGCAAAATGAAGAAGGATTCTCCTGAATAAGTTCATTTGCAGAAGGGTGAAACAAGTGCTCACGATCATGCTCCATTGGATGAACTTAAAAGCTTTATGGAGTCCTTGTTAAAAGACCTTAAAGTTACAAGAGAAAGTTATTGAAATGGATGATAGATGAAGTGCAACAGTTGGTGGGTGATCTAAGGGGAAAACCTGGTCATGGTGATGAGAAGGTCCAGTTGCAGAAAAGAGAAAAATCTAGCAAAGATCAGCACTGGAAAACTCACACGGAAAGCATGCAAGCCCATCGTTCGAGTAATTCCGATAAATGTATCCAAGTCCAATGCCATAGAGACTTACAACAGCAGAACAACTCGGAGAAAAACAAACAGCATGTGCCGGTTTGAGACAAGGAGAACAACTTCATGCTGCACAAGAATGACTTTGGATACGGCATGGATAGATCTTTAGTTAGATTCCCCACAGGCGCTACTGCTCATGCTTCTACTGGTTACTTAAACCCATTAGGAGATCGACTTGGCTCTGGACAATTTGTTGAGCTTATTACTTCATCAAACGGGAAATGAGATAGCTTGTCGATAGCTGCTGCAAAGCCAAATCATCAAACAATTGATGCCGGTCAAAACGTTCAAGTCCAGAGTAATACCAGTGTTGTTTTAGCTATAGAAGCTCAAAAAACCAAGGGTGGATATCTGAAGAGAAGTGCAAAAGGCAAGAAAACCGTCGATCTGGGCGATCACCATCCAGTGCCCGAAGATCAAGCCGGTCATGTCCAGGCCATTAGAACCTCAGGAGCCTGTACTAATGTTGAAGAGCTGGGGTCATCTGTTCAAAATTTTCTATCTAGTCCCTTTGGTCAGGTACCTTGGTCAATGTATCCGATGTTACCAACTTTTCTAACTTATCAAATAGCTGCAAATCAAGGGCCTGATGCTTCATTATACAACTATGTTCTACCAAGATCCGCGGAGACTAAAAGCTGTATAAATACGGAAAGAGTAAATCAAATGCCGGAACCAGGTTCTAATCAAGGATCATTTCCAATCATCCCACCAGAAGAAACCATTTGAAAATTTGCATTAATGGGATCGAGAAATATGGATCGCATTAATCAGAAAAGCACCCTAAGTTCTTCTGGTATTGGAACTGGATTTCCTTTCCCACTTCACCAGGGTATAGATTTTGGTTTAAGCATTCCAAATCCAAGACAATTCAATCCAGAATATCCGAGACAAAACAACCCACAAAATCTTCCACAGGAAACCAGCAAACCACTGGGTTTGAAGATAAATGGAGAAGCTGCTAAGGTATCTGGTGGAAGCTATAACTTATCAGAACATATTACTGCAAACAATCACCATAGCAATCCAACTTACAAGTCTGATGGCAGACACTTCTCATATCAGATGCAAAACCTTAAAGACGGCCATCTTTTCCTACAATAATAATTTTAGTTCGAGCAGTTGGAACGAAGTCCCTTGTCAAAACTATTTAGGCAAATATATTTCAATTCCATAATGTTCATCGAAAGTGTTATCCTTTTTTTCTTCCTTCTGTCTAATTTGGATGATAAAATGATGGTTGTGGATGAGTATCATGCCCACATGCATGGCCCAACTATAAACAAACATAAAACGCATCCATGACGTTTTGATGTTGAAAGACATTATTTTTGAAGAGAAGGGCCAAATAATGCACTATGCGTTTTGAGTAATCGAGACTTTAACGGTTGCTTTGCGTTATTAGCTCACTTTCTTCCAAAGCCAATAGATTCATTGCTCTCCTTTGATAACTGCTACTACTCTTTGCTCCCTCTTCATTATTTTGTTTATACTAAAGAAGAAATCAAAAAGTCAACAATACCAAAACACAAATATTTCTGTAATGGCAAGAAGTAATGGAACTTCGAACGGTGCCTGAACTAGAAGAAGTAAGAGTAGGAGGGATAACCCATCAATGGATTTGCGGTGTTTTTGCAGAGTATTCTTAATAATTGCTCTGACTTCACTTGTCTATCAACCTTGTTCTGTCAAAGCCGGTTATATTGTACACGACGATGATTTAGCTCCAAAGAAGCCCGGTTGTGAGAACGACTTCGTTCTGGTAATCATTCGAAAATGCACCTTTTTTTCCTTCTACCCACTTCTTGTTTCTTCGTTTTCCAACTGGGTTTTGCTTAAATTTTAGCTTGATTCCTTCTACCCACTTATTGGTTGGTTGAGCTCTTGGTGGTTCTTTTCTGTTTTATTGGTGTGGAGGTACAACTTTCTTTCATTGTCTGATTCCTAGTTGTCGGAACCGGGTCCGGAATTGGGCTTCAACTTGAATTGATTGGGTTAGGAATCGTCACCGATCATTTATTTAAAAATAAATAGGTTGAACGGATACCTTATTTCTTACTTGATCTACGCTTTACCAGAAATATGTCGGGTTCGGGAGTCGGTTACGGTCAATGAAGGATTAGCACCCTTGAACCGCCCTTTCGGTACCAATTAATTTGTCGATTGTCTTAATCATGAAAAAAATTTAAAAATTAAAAATTAAAATTTAAAATATTCGATTCAAATTAATTACTTCTGATTGATTGAAAATATACCTAAAAAGTAAAAAATGTTAGATTTTAAATAAAATATAAAAATAAGAAAGATCAAATAAATAAAAAATACATTAAAATTAAAAGAAAAATAATGAATAACTAAAATTAAAAAGAAAAAAATGAATAACTAAAAATTTAAAGGACTAAATTGAAATAAATTAAAATTGATGGATTAAATTGGTGCTAAAAATGAACTGCAAAAGAAAAAAAAATTAAAAAGTTAGGGGCCAAATCACAATGAGAAATGACTTCAAGCAAACAAATGAAATTTCTCCAAACCTGGAAGGACTAAAACAACAATTTGGCCCTAAGAATTTCAAGACCAACATGTTACACTCTTGGAAAATATAACCAGTGCACGTGTTGATGAAAACCAAATTTCGCTATGAAACCGATATCGAGTAGCTTACGTTGCATAAAATGTTATTTTATGAGGGCAGCCGATTCCACCGGTCTTCATGTGCCACTCGCATATAAACGAGTCCATTCCTTGGTTGTCTCAACGGCTTCTGCCTCATTTGACTTCCAGTGCTTAGCAATATTTTCAGAAAGTGGATCATCGGGATTTGGAGCACTCAAAAGTGCATGGATGCTCAAAAGTACAGTTCGGATCTGGAGAGATGGATTCCATTTGTCTTCTTCAGGCAGAAATAGTTCCAACTTGAAAACCCCTCCTTCGTATGGAGACTGAGTGGGACCAAGGATCATCACATTGAAATATCTCATATTATCCTCTGAAGGTGAAGCAATAATTCCGGTGTCGGCTCACTTAGGAGACGCTGCATTTCCTTGATGATTCTTCGAGAAAGATTATTGTTGGTCATTTGCGAGCTGCTCGAAACAAGCATGTTACGAGAAGAAAAAAAACAAGGCTTGATGTTG